TCCTGTTCACACCCATGGTACCTGAGCTATTGTCAGGTTTTCTCTAGGTTCTCGTCTTTGTTTTAACGCACCCACCCAAGCATTTTGGCTTTCTCAGACTTGTCAACTCTCAACCAGAATATTTTTTTTGAGGAACACGGACCTCAGGCGGGGTTTCTCTGTGTAGTCCTGGCACTCCTGAAACTTGCTATGTAAACCAGGAGAACTGGCCTGGAACTCAGAGAGTTCCACATGCCTCTGCCTCCCAAGTGACAGGATTAAAGATGTGTGCCTCCGTGCTTGGCTGTTGTTTTTTTTTTATTTAGATGGGGAATCATGTAGGCCAGACGGACATTGACCTTGCTATATGGCCAAGGATGACCTTGAACTTCTGATACTCCTGCTTCACACCTCAAATGTTAGGATTACAGGCATGGACCAACAACAAACTGAGCCACAACCTTAGTCCCGTAGGCAGAATTTATCATTTTGTGATATGTCTCTGATACTTCTGTGCATATTTCCTTTACAGACTAATGTTAGAATTTCTTGTTTACAGTTTTATTCTTCATTAAGACTATGCATTATTTTTACAAACCACATTCCGCAGCTGCTTCTATTTCAGAGGGAAGTTCTTTTGCCAATAAAACAGCTGAAAAAAACGCCTATATAGCAAACTGCTAAAGAGTCAGTCAATTAGTGAGAATAATAAGTTAATAATGGAAAACGGAAACAAAATTCTTACAGTCACTGAAGTGTTTAAATAAGATTGGTTAAGCGATTGTGCATAAAAATTTCCAAATATATTTCCTCAAGTAGCTGCCCCCAAAAAGCCTAACTCTGTGGGCATCAAGAATATCATGTTCTGATTTTTGATTGAGATAGGGCAGTAGGTACATCAGGAAGTGCCTCACAGAAACTATTTTAAAACTTGAAACACACACACACACACACACACACACACAAATATTTCTTTTCGAATGGTCCCTTGAATAGAACATGTTAATGAATCCAACTTACGACCCTCTGAAATAAGTCAGATCTTACAGTGGTTAGCAATACCCACTCTGTCTCTTAGAAAACATTAAATCCCTTACCAAATGAGGAAATAAAATACACAAAGCACTTTATGCATGTTAAGTAAAAGAATTAAGGAGCTTCTCCCTAAGAAGACAACACTTTATTTAGAAGCAGTGGAAAATTTGAATTCTTAAAAGTGTCTTGAAATTGTTGCTACCAACGAAAAGTAATAAAGGCAGAGATAGACCCTGCCAACTACAAAGGTGGGCACACAATATCCGGGCCTTAATCATTGGATCAGGCATCACATGAGAGGGATACTTAATGTTCTTTTCAGAAAGTGATTATACACAATGCCTCTCTAAATACTTTTCAAGTCTCCAGAGTATTTTACCGTTAACAGATCTCCTCTTTTTCCTTCCTACTGGGCTCCTTGGCTACATTATATCCGGACCCAGGAGAAACAACGCTCATCTTCTGAGCTCGCCAAGCCCTCTCCGGTCTTCTCCCAACAGCGGAATTAATGGCTCTGAGGCTGCAGTCACGTTGCGTTTACAGACCTCATTTTATAGCTGCCCTCGCTCTTTACTGTCACTGTATTTACATACCTTCTCTCTCCCTAGAACAACAGCTCCCTGCAGACAAGGACCAGTCCTAAACTCAGGTGCTAGGAACGTCAGGGAGATAAACCTGGAACGTTCTCCTGCTGGGCTAGCAGAGGCTTGGCAGAACCCAGGGACACCCCCGGGGATAGTCCTTTTCTCCGAGGGAAATCACAGCAGTAAATTTGCTTTGTCACTGGAGCTTAAACTGGAAAATCCCAGGCACTAAAATCAAAAGATAGCCAGGCATGCTGGTAGTGCTAGCGTTTAGGAGGCTGAGGCAGGACTAGAAGTGTGAGGGAAGTTAGGGCTACGGAAGTTTGAGCCGGTTTCTCAAAAGCCAGGAAATACACCGATAAATTGGGCATCCAAAAAGCGTGTCAGTGTTGGGAGACAATACTGACGCTGAGTTTTCATGCACCTTGCTATAGAGAACTAGAAAAAAGAGGAGGATATTTTAGGGCAAGTGGGGGAAACACAACTTGTACTGATGTGTAAGTCAAATCAATGGTGAACTTGTGGATGGCACACTCTGAATGCTTGGGGATCAGAGCATTTCTTTGAAAACATGGATGGCAGTGTTTGCCCCTGAGGTGTTCCTCCCAACCTGAGGCTGCTAAGATGGCTTCCGATGTCCTTGTGTGGAAGAAGACATCCCAATCTTCCTGACGAGGGGGAGAAACTAGACAATAATGAATTAAGTTTTTAAATAGGCCGAAGAGAAGATTTTAGAACGTTCTTATCAGAAAGAAATGGTAAATATTTGAGGTGATAAATACGTTTTGCAAAAAAAAACAAAAAAAAAACAAAAAAAAAAACGAAGTAAATGTTGTGGCTGATGTAACAAATGATATGGCTCTTTGAATTACTGTCCCTTCCCAAGGCATAAGAATCAGAAATCCTTAAAGAATCAATAACAAAAATAATGCCTGGCAGTCCCTAGGACAAAAAATCTTTTTCTTGGTGGGGGGTGTGAGTTGAAAATCCAATAGGAAAAAAAATTACATGATCTGTTTATCCGACAAATTAATATATGAGGTTTCTTCTTAATGTCCTGGGGTTAAGGGTTTCCCATATCCCATCCATCCGTACGTGTGGGTGGAAGGAACACTGGGGAAGTCAGCAGCGGTTCCAGTAGAAGCTGTCAGAGCAGTAGGCTTTGAAAATAACAAGTGCACAGACAACCAGAAGCTGAGCGAGTCACCAGCAGCATCCTATCAGCAGTTGGGAACGGAGCAAGCACTGCCAGATGCTAAAAGCCTTTTGGGACTCCAAGCCAGGGAGAAATAGACAGAACTATTTAATGAAGTAAGCCAGGGGAGGGGATTCAAGGAAGCCACATTTCCTTATTCCGATGAGCTATTTAAACAGGGCTGCCTTGCTATGGAGTTGAAGACACATGAACGGGAATGACTCTTCTTGTCCCTTGGAGGCTCCTTAGAGAGACTCCATAGGAGGAGTACAGATCTTTGAATGTAGTGTTTTTATGGTTTTTTTCTTTCAAGAGAAAGCTATATAGAAGTCAGAATGAAAAAAGGTAAATATTTTAGATAGAGAGATACATACATACAAAGAAGTATTACACAAAGGTATACACATGTAGATACGGAAAGACAGACAGACAGATAGGAAGGGAAGGAGAGGGAGACTGATATTATAAGAAGGTTGTTTATGAAATTCTGGAGGCTAAGAAATGTTGGAATCTACAGTTACCAAACCAAACATTAAGGAAGGCAATGGTATAGGTCTCATCAGCGTGCAAATTCAGGTTTGAGATCAAATGATGACAGAATACTTCAACTCAAAGAGTCTCAGACAGGGAAATGTACTCCTCTTTTTTTGAGTCTTTATGTTTTATTTACACCTTCAGTTGATTGCACAGACTGTTTGAAAGGACAGGTGACTTCACCTAATCTGCATATTCAGATATTAAGGTCATACATATATACCTTTACAGACATAATCACAGACTTGAGTTCCAAGCACCAGAATTTGGTAAAGTGTCAGGTAGCCATACTAGCTAAAGGAAAGTAGTGACAGCAGCAGAAATCATTTCAAATCATGGACACCCTTGACAATGCTATATTTGACTGTAGATTTTCTGAGTGTTTTTGAGTTCGTGGTTTTTTGGTTTTGTTTTTTTTTCACATCAATATTTCCTGTGTTCTGCTGATTCTCGTCTATTTTTTCATGATTACATGCCAAGTTCATAATGGCAGGAAATTGAGACCTTCCTGACCTATAACACACTTGGAGATTAAATATAAATAAGTTGTAAGTAATGAAATATGAGTGTACATCCCCAGTTAATTGAAAAGTGAGTATGCGCAGCAAAGGCAGCTTCAGAAAAATGGCAGTGGCCTCAGTGAGCTATGGTCCACAGGAACACTGGGGACCACAAAGAGCCATTTAAACTTTGTGATAGGCTTTATTGCTAACACCTCTGTTTCTAATGTCCTTTGATCCACTGCTGCTTAAGATTTCAATGGCAAAACAGAAGAGGGGAGAATTTGTTTAAAAATAAAAGACAGCCTTCCAAGTATTTATTAAGTCTTAGAGCAGTGGTTCTCAACCTGTGGGTTGTGACCTTTTGGGGAGATTGAGGGACCTTTTCACAGGGGTCACCTAAGACCATTGGAAAATGTAGATATACATTATGATTCATAACGGTAGTGAAATTACAGTTACGAAGTAGCAACAAAAATAATTTTCTGGTTGTGGGTCACCACAACATGAGGAACTGTATTAAATAGTTTTAGCATTATGGATATTGAGAACCGCTGTCTTAAAGCATCAGCTCAGGGATGGGGGTTGCTTACTAATCAAATAATCTCTGTGGATACTCATAATACATTTCTTCAGAGAAATCTAATTGTTGGAAACGTGAGTACTCAAAGGCTGATGGGTGAGAGAAGGGCTCGGGAGTACCACGAGTGTATACTCTGGTTTTGCTAGTTACTTTTGTCACCTCTAGGGCAAACTGCCGGAGAGAAACCTCAGAGAAACAAACAAACAAAAAGATTTATTTTTTTAGGTCAGTGTTATGGCTAGGGAGACATTACAGCTGGGGCTCCTTCTATGGTAGGAGCTTGAATAGGAACCTCCAAAGGATCCAGAAGCAGGGAGAATTGGGGCTTGGAGCATCCTTTCCCACCCCCAGTCCTGCAACCCATTTCCTCTTGGTAGGCCCCTATCCTAATGTTTAAGCTACTTACAAAGACAGCCACCAGCTGGGGAGCATTCGAACACTCAGGGGACTTTTGGAAAAAGGATAGGGGTGCCCCTGAAGCCATCTGTGTCACATGCTTCCTAAGATTTTGTCTTTCACTTCTCTTTTGCCCCTCCTGAATTCTGTCTTCCCAACTACTTCTGTCCCCCCTCCCTTTTTTTTTTTATATAGCCTGTCTCCCTTTGATTTCTCAGCTTCTGGGTTTTCTTTTCCAGGTAACCCCCAACACGGCTGCTCTTTGCCCGCGACATCCTTTGAAGAAGTCCTTTATTTCTGAAGCTTTCTTTTCCAATTCATCCTTTCCCCTGGGTGTCCTTTTCCAGCTTCCAGATGTCTGAGGAGCCTGCTCCTTCAAGCTCCCTGCCACCTCAGTCGCATCCCCTCACACCGACTTTTATCCAGATGACGGTCTCTTTACGGATGTGGTGCAATGGAGCCAGGGAGGCCAGGAAAGGAAAGGAACATAAAAGCAAACAGACAAATTAATGACAAGTTTGTTCAATTCTGGCTGTGCGGTTCAGGGCAGAGGGGCTGGTAATAGGTCACAGCATCCAGAAATCACTTTGACAGTAGGACATCTGTCATGGCTGAGGCCAGGCCCTGTCTGTGCCTGGCGCCAGGCCTGTGGCACCAATTTATATCTCCCTCTAAGGCCCCTGGCTCCTGATATCAGGACTGGCGCACTGTGTAAAGTGACAACCACAATTAATAGCCCCGTTCACCTCTGATCCCAGAAACCAGACGATTGACTAAGAAAAGAGTTTTTCACCGGAGTGAAAAGATCAAACATAATTATACTTACGGATTATTCTGTATAAAACCCTCATTGTTTGACACAGAAGGAAGCTTATATGAAGTGAGTGAGTGTTAACTGGATGACAACGTGAGACCAAAATTAATTTCAATCTTCCCAGAAGTGCCTCTATTTATCGCTCAACAGAGAAGCCACAAGGATGAGAAAAATAAATCTGAGCTCTAAGCCTATGGATTGTGAATATTTTATTAGTGGATCACTGTTACTCAGTGTGGTTCTATGTTTCTTAATCTGAAGAGAATTTTGGAGAATAAAGAAGGACTGAGGAAAAAAAAAGTGAGTCTGTAAAGCCAGCATTGTATCAATGGCTGAATTCCAGTGCTATGCCTGTTTACAAAGTCAGACTGTTTTTCCATTGACATTCCCTTTTACGAGAGCTGCCAATCAAATAAACACCGTTCGTTGCTAACCAGTTGCATGACCTCTAAGAGTTCAGCCTTCCTGGTACTCCCTGTCTTCTTCCTTTGCAGATACCAACTTTGTACGTCTAAGGTTACATGGTGTGTTCTGTCAACCAACCCAAATAACAAGATATCCCTGGAGTTGAGAGATCGCTGAAAATCCCAGCTCACAGAACATGCTAGCACTGGGTTCATTCATGTCTGCAAACCAGCCGGTCAGCACATGTGGTGAATCCTTTTTCCAGGATCTTCAGGTTTACTTAATAATTAAAATAAAAATTATTGAAGTCACCATACCTGACTATTGGTCTTTTATCTCTGAAAACAGCAAGAGCGTCGGTATCTGCTCCAACTCCTTCCTTATCAATTACCATTCCGTGGGCTCTCTCCGGTTTCCCAGTCAGTAGTCCCACCAGCCAGCAACACAATCAATGGCTATGCAGGTACCTTGGACTCCAGGTCTGGCATCTTTGTATCCTGCTCCACAAGTATATAGTCACGTTCAGAGCCCTGAGGCCTGGTGGGAAATGGGTGGCATGCAGTAAGGAGGAAACCACCTTGCCTCATACATGAACAGTGTGGGAAGCCTGGAGACTGACAATAGGAAACCGGAGAAAGGTTCCAGAAGGCCAGAGACTGAGGGCACACCCTCAAGGCCGGAGAAGACCTGAAGGTTCAGACCTTTGAGAATTGTATGGACAGTGTTTGTGTTGTCCTACAGACTGGCAATTCTCATCTTGCTGTGGATGACGTGAGAGCCAGTTATGAGACATCTGACCACATGTCAGTCTATGGAGAATGGCATTTAGACTCAGAAAGACAACAGTTGATGCCAGCATTACGCACTGCAGCTGGAGACTTAAATCAAAGCTCTCAGGGAGAAACTACTGTTAATGAAGGAGAATCGGGACCAGGAAAGACAAAAGCCCAGAAGCCCCAATTGTCAGTTATGGGTCCATAGTGAAAGAGGACATTCTCCAAATTAAGAAACAAGATCTCTCAGCAAGACCATAATAGACATAAGGCCCCCTATGAGCAGTTGTTTCAGAAGACCCAAAAGGTACAGGCACGCACCAGTCCCAGAAAATTGAGGAGGACCACAATTGTTGACTGAGGTTTCTGTCCTGCCCAATCCTGCAGTCATTCAGTCCCAAAGAATCACACAGAGGTCTACATCAATGATAAACTGATTGGCCCAGTATCGAAGGCTCTTCCTAATAACTAATTCTTATAATTTATATTAGCCCATAATTTTTGTCTATGTTGGCCACGTGGCTTGGTACCTTTTTCGGCAAGGCAGTCACATTTTGCTTCCTCTGCGGCTGGGTCACGACTGGAGATTGAGCATCCCTCTTCCCAGAATTCTCATTGCCAGGCCTCTACTTCCTGCCTGGTTGCCATCACCGCACCTATACTTCCTGCCTGGCTACTGGCCAATCAGCATTTTACAAGTAACACAATAAAAGACCATTGTCCCACAGCACACAATGGTCACCACTGAGTCTCCAGAGATCAGAGATTCCGAGACAATAATTACAGAGCTGAGACATACTTTTCAGGCCTTAGATTCCATGAGAAATCTGAAGGTTAGCTTAACCTGAGGGACACAGAAGCCAACTATAACATGCAGATGTAAGAGTTCAGAACTGCCACAGACCTGAGCGGGCAGCTACAGCAAGACCAGCAGTAAGATGAGCTGTTGAACATGAAGGTCAAGGTGGAGGAGGTGGAGGCAGAGGTTAACACCTATGCCTGTCTGCTGGAAGATGGAGAGGAATTTAGTCTCAAAGACTCCCTGGACAGCACCCAACCCCATGCAAACTATCACAGAGCATGAAGGACAAAGGGCCCTGCAAGACCAATGACACCAAATTGGCATACTATTGAGAAGCAGGAAATTCATGGGGACTAAGAAGCCAGTGGAATTTCAAAGATAAATGGTGTGGTGGTTGGTCAACTCTCAGTTTGCTTGGGTTCCAGTGTCCACATCTCTGTTCAGATTCTCCTTTCTCAGTTGACTGGCAATCCTGGAGAACAGTGGCTCCTCATTCTTCTGATCAGCGGTTGTCAGTCCCCTTCTTGCTTTTCCATGAGTCTCTCTCTTTTTCCTGTAGTCAACTGGTGGAATTTAACAGATGATGATTTTAATGTGTCCCTAGCAAGTTTGCTGTCACCTTTCTCTTGGCCTTGGGGAAAGGGAATTAGCTAAGATCTTGAGCTGATTACTGCTCTGATCAAAGAGTTCAATTGCAGAATCCCTCAGAAAAAAATTACTATAAGTTTCAATGATTAATAGGGCTTAACGAAAGCTTTAATTATAAAGTCATAATGTGAGTTTGGGTCCAGGACCCCTGCAGATACTCAAATCCACATATGCTCTATCTCTCTATTTAATATGACAGATCATTTGCATATAATATTTGCACACCTTTGCATGCATATTAAATGCTACTGTACTTGAACTCCTGAATGCAATGCAGGTGTTATATGAGAGCTATCGTGTATTGTCTAGGGAAAGCTGTTTTGATAGCATCTGTTCATGTTCAGCAGAAACACATCCTTTTATCCAAATAGATTTGATCTGGGGTTAATAGAATACTGAAGATGCCAAACTCACAGATAGAATGGTCAACTATAAATAAAGTGGGTACAATAAAGGAAAAAATTCGAGATGAGATGCTATTAGTACCCTGCAGGTCCTTGCTGTCCCTTCCCTCCACTCTTTCTCCCTTTCCCCTGCTTTTTGGTTGCATCATTTTTTCATCTTAAATAATCTCTATCATGTGCCATCCAAAGGGATCAACGGTTCAGCCTAAGAGTCTCTCAAAATGACCTGTCCCTCTCTCACTATTTGACCAAGCACCTTTTCCTTTTTTAAAAAATGCACACCATTTCTATCAGACTTTTTCTGTACTTTACTCTTCAGCTTATCCTCAATATAGGATTCATAAGCAGCTGTGATTTTTTTAAATGTGTTTCTCTTTTAAGCATGTATTAATAAATCACTACACACTATACACTAGTGCTTTCAGAACTCAACATGTTAGACATGCTAATATTTTATAATCGCAACAAGGAAGAAAAAGAGACACTAGGGATGTACTTCAGTTAGTTACTGAGTGCAGCAGCAGAGTTCTGGGTCCTATCCCCATAACAAGAGAGAGAAGGCTCTGAGTAGTTAAAACATTTGCTGCTCTTCCAGGAAGCTGAGACTCGATTTTCAGTACCCACACGTAAGCTTATAACCACCAGTAACTTGAGTTTCTGGAGATCCTATGCCTTCTTCTGCCATTTTCAGGGATCAGGCATGCACACAGCATACATATATATATGCAAACAAAACACTAATATATATATAAAATAATGTTTTAAAGAAAAAAATGGGAGTGTTGAGTGGTGGTGGCGCACGCCTTTAATCCCAGACAGAGGCAGGTAAATCTCTGGGAGTTTGAGGCCAGCCTGGTCTACAGAGTGAGTTCCAGGACAGTCAGAGCTACACAGAGAAATCCTGTCTTGAAAAACCAAAGAATAAAGGAAAAAAGAAAAAAGAAAGAAAATGAGAAGAGGGTCAAAGTAGAAAGAGCAATAGTTCTAGAACTGGAAAAAAAAAAAAAAACAGAGCAAAGAAGGGGCAAATGTCTTACAAAATACAATTGGGACACTGATTCCCTGTGTGCCATTAGGAAATTTCAGGGCATTGTGAAGGAGATAGAGGGTATTTGCACTGTGGTTATGATATAGCAGACTGTGCAGAATTCAGTGGAGTATTATAGAATAACAAGGAAACCACACTTTTGTGTTCTTAACGATTTTAAACAAATATAAAAATTTCTCATGGAGTTTTACTTATCTATCTGTCGAATTGTCACTTTTTATGAGGGTAAATTTACATGCTTTCCTCTCATTAAACTGGGCTTTCTGGGAATGTAATCATATCTGCTATAATGTAAAAAAAATAATAAAAGAAAAGAAAGAGAGGGAGGGAAGGGAAGGGGAGAAAAAAAAAGGCAAGTTCTTAAAAAATATCTATATACTGTTGAATACCAAAGTACAGAAAATTCTCTCCAGCAAATTCCATTCCTTCCCCTCCTCTCTCTTCTCTTCTTGGTCACTAGAACAAAGGCCAGCAGATAGCCTCTCTATTCCGACAGGCATTCTGCAGCTGCTTGTTTGGTTTCCACGGATCAGGATATAAATCCAAAGCTATCTCATAGGGCTAATCCTGGACCACTGTGTGTCAGGGGGCAAAGCATCCAGTTCAAAGTGCTGGGACTGGAGTAGAACGGGCTGCTGAGCTCCTGTTGATGGAGTTGCCGAGCGCAGAGAGCAGGGGACAGCCGGTGTCAGCTCCCCAGTGGGCAGCATCATACTCCATGAGCTTGACGGGAGGAAAACGGACTTTGTTTTGAAGACTTTTCTAATCCCAAGCCTCTTCGGCCAGCCCCATAGCCTGTTCCAGCCATCACAGACGCTTCACATCTAAATATTTACAAAGCAGGAAGAGATAGGAGACGTTTTTTTATGACCGCTGCACCCCTGTCACCCGTGGCAAGGATCACTCCCAGGCCCACACTGCTGACCTGGAGCAGCAGGCATTCTTATCAGAGATAAGCGAGCAAGGGTCTGAGATAGGAAATAAAGTCGAAGTTGGCCGCTTTGGCTTACATTCAATAAGCACAACTTCATTAATGGCTTCCTTTCCCTTTGTAGGACCAAGCACAAATGTCAACAAGATCATGGAAAGTGTTTTTTGGAGGAAAGGGTCTTGTTCACAGTGCTATACATCATAATCATAATCATATACAATGATTAAAAATCGTGGACTTCCAAAGCAATGACATACAAAGGGAAATACTTAAGCAGGAAGCGGTCTGTCCAAACCATGCAGAGTATGAGCCTACCATTCAGGTCCTAGAGGCCCAAGTGAATAATGTTTTATATTTGCAGGGATGTTTCTGTTGCTGCTATACACTTGTAAATCACTAGAAGTGCTCTTTAAGAATGCTTTAAGGTGTCTAGGCCTCACCTATTCAGAATCCTATGTGTTGGGTAGAGCGAAATGTTTTGGATGCAGTTGGACACCATGCCATGACTTACTCAAGTATACCACACCATCTGGATGCTGAAGGGAGCACTGGAACCTCTTCTCAGGCTTTATATTCCCTTCTGATCAGTCCTCCCATACCCTCTCATAGCTCTCCACACACTCACAGGCTCACGGATAAGATTGGCTGGTCGGAATGTGGAAATCATGTTTGGAGTGAGTGCATTATCAATTCTCTGCTGCATGTTGTAGGAGGACACGTGTGACAGAAGGCAGGGCCTCTCACTTAAGGGGATACTGCCTTCGAAAGAATTTCTCAAATGAGGCTGTAGAGGCAGCGTCACTGGCAGAGTGCCTGTCGCGCAAGCCCTAGGGTGCAAGTTCGAATCCCCAGCACCCACTTTATAAAAGCTGATTTGTGGCAGCGAGCTTGGGTAACTCGGACACAGGGGAGCAGAGGTAGGTGAGCCCCGGAGGTATTCTAGATGAAATGGAGTGCTCCAGGTTCAGTGAGAGACCCGGTCATACACGAAAATATGGTGAACAGTGACAGAGAAAGATACCTGATATTTACCTCTGGCCTTAACACACGTCCTTCCAGAAGTATTCAAAGACATCACATGCACAAAGACAATTTTTAAAGAAGTCAAATAAAATCCAAGTATATGCTAATTGAAAACTTAATGGGTACAGAAGAAGCAGCATTAAAAGGCAAAAGTTTCCTTTAACTCTCAGCTGACCAGTCCTCTCCTCTGAGAAACTCATTGCAAACTGCTGGACGTGTGTCCGCCTGATTTTTATGTACAGTTACACATGTAGCTGTGTGCGCACATGCATGTACGTATGCTTTCCGACTTCCTGGTTTTGGAAAGCTCTATTCATGAAAGGACTGAGGCATTTTGATCCGCCAGACAGATGCAAGAGGACACTGTCAGCACACAAGCAATCAAGCTGAAGATGCAGACATCTCGGCGTGACTAACGCTGACTGCTGCTGCGCATGACCTTTTGCGACAGGAGGACTTCCCAGGCCCCGCTCGCCTTCTCAAGTGCACCTTGGTCAGTAAGTGAGGCGCCTGAGGTGTATAAAAAGCATCCATGAGGATGCTAAGGGAATAGGGAAGAATGGCAGTCGCATCCTGCAAACTCGTGAATACTGTGAGAGTCTTCATAGAAACACAAGGTGCTAAATGAAGTCACCTCCTCCATAGTTGGTGAAGGGTGACAGAGAGTCTGTTTCCATGAGAAGGCCAGAGCAGGGGCGCAATGGCGGATGGTGTGGATGTTCACGTGAAATGTATATTACTCGCCCTGCT